GTGTGTGTGTGTGTGTGTGTGTGTGTGTGTGTGTGTGTGTGTGTGTTGCGGCTGCAGTAACAGCCTCAACGGATCCAAGACCGACTCCGAGTGGAGGCAGCCAGGGCCCGAGCCAAGCAGGGCCGTCCTCCCGGCTCCGGCCGCGGCATCCTTCTGCTCACGGAGACCCGAGGCCCCGGAGCGCGGCCTGGCTGGGCTCAACCAGGACCGCCGGTCCCGTGTCGCTGCATCGCCTCGCACCCTGCGCCGCATCCCCACCACCCCACCTCCGCCCTCGCTCTCCCTCCCCACGACCCCGCATTCCAGCCGGTGTTTCCTGAGCGTTTCCATCCAATTAGCTCCGCTCGGACACGAGCTAAGCCCCGCTTCACACACACCCCCACCCACCCCCCTCCGCAGCCTCATACCTCCTCATCGTGCGGACCTCCGGGAATCCCCGACGAACACGAAGGGTCCAAGCCTGTACCCAGCTCGTCCAGGCCGCGGTCCCGGCCCGAATCCAGCTCCGCGGCGTCTCCGTTAAAGACGGGCGGTGGGGACTCGGCGCTGCTCAACGCCGCCATTTTAAACTGCGAGAAGCTGAGTGGAAAATAATGAAGAGAGGTGCAGGAAGCAGGTGCGGCCGGCAGGGGGAGGCAGAGAGCACTCATCATTACAGGTGGTCGCTCTCAGCCTGTTTGTGAGCAAATAATGAAACCTTCAGAAAATAGGGCTGGGCAGTATTGCCAAAAACCTAATCACGATTAATTGGGGTATTTAGCCGATAACATTTAATTTGACGATTAATCCCCTGAATCCCTTCTGTCCTAGCAAGACATGACCAATTTAGTGGGAAAGATTTGCTCTTCAGAAAAATCAGTGTTGTATAAATCAGTGGTTCCCAAACTTTTTATCTTCTGACACACAAAATATCCATGGCAAAAACATGTGACCCCAAATATTACTGGTCTGAGTACATGAAATTTGTTAAAAACCATAAAAACACAGGCTTTTTGACAATCTAAACAGCTTTTACACAAATATAAATACTTTTTTTTACTTAATTTTTGTGTTTTTGTAATAATTACAGGGAAAATATTACATCAGCAATTATTTTATTACCCTTTAAATTGATTTCTGGAGATTATCCAAGGTGCTTCATGACTCATAATTGGGTCCCAAGCCCAACTTTGGGAACCAAAGTGCAGTGGTTCCCAAACTTTTCAGCTTTTGCTTCACTGAGGGGAAGGTAAGTCCTCATGAGGATAGAAAAATAAGGGTGTGTGTTTGTGCGCGCGGGGTGTAGAGCGGAGCGCTGTGTTCATACTGCTAGAT